CCGCCTGGCATTGTGGGCATGCATGCACATATGGCTGGCATGATTTTCAAGCCACCGAGTCTGGGACTCAAATTGCAGTCAGCCATGTGAGAGTTTAATGCCTTAACCACCATGCCATCTGCTTGCCCCAATTCAGTCTTTACATTATTAACCGATGAAAAATGGGTACCCTTTAAAGTTTTTTTCCTCCCAGTTTTGCTGTGCACTCAACAGAGAGAGAGAGAGATGGACCCCTGGGAGAGGATGGAAGATTTTTTTTTTAAGATTAGGAAATAAGGCTGGCCCTGTAGCCTAGTGGTTGAAGGAGCCTGATCCTGTATGATGATCACAATTTAAGTCCCAGCTCCAGTGGCTTGAAAAACATGCTGGACACATGTGCATGTGTGCCCAAATCCCAACGGTATGGAGAAATAGAGAAGGGATACAGCAAGACCAGCTGCACTGGGGATACTTTCTTCTTCCTCTCTCTCTCTGTCTCTGATGAGTGCACAAGTCTTCTGATAATTTAAAAAAGATGGGGAAACAAAAGGAAGTCAGAAGGAGTCACATCTGGATTGAAAGATAGATGCCTAATGATTTCCCACGTAAACTCTCGCATAGTTGTCCTTGTGTGATGAGAAGGAAGAGTAGAGCATTGTCGTGGTGGAGAATGTTAGGGTGATCTCTGCCATATGTTAGGGTAGTCTTGGTGGCGGGCTGTGAAAGAATTCACAAACACAGAAAAGTGGATAGAAAAGAATTTATTCACTTTCTGATAGTGGAAAGGGGCTGGATGGGAGAGTTATGTTGTCCTTAAAGGGTGACGACCAGGAACTTTATTGGTTCTTAAAGGAGAGAGGTTTATGGTTGGTTAATTAGAGCAGTTCTGGAATAGGATGCCTGTTAATCTTCCCCAATCTCTGCACTGTTTCTTCACTATCTTTGGTTGTCATGTTCAATCATTTTGATCTATAGTATATTTGGAGGTTTGTTGATGTTTCAGTATCAACAAGAGGGGTGTCTCTATATTTGAAAGTAGAAACGGGGGTGGGGGAGAAGCCATTTTTGGAGGTCAGTGAGGGGTCAACTAGCCCAGGAAGAAAAAGGGAGGAGGAGAAGAAGGCATGTTTGAAGCACCTGGGAGTTTTAATAAGCCTTCCCAATTAAGACATCAGTGAGACACTGAGCTAACCCTTCCCAATCCCTAATGTGCTTAGGAGACTTTTAACCCTTTCAGAGAATTAACTCTTTGGTGATGCTTTTCCAAGTGTTTTTCTGCTATGTTTTGGCTAACTTTCTCAAAATAGATGTTACCATTCCTTGCTCTCCCAAAAGTCAGTAAGGAAAATGCCTTTAGCATCCCAAAAAGCAGTTGCCATAACCTTTGCTTTTGACTGGCTCTTCTGCTTTTTCTTTGACTGGGCCACTTCTACTTCTTGGCAGCCACTGCGTTGACTGTGCTTTGTCTTCAGGATCATACTGATAAAGCCATAGTTCATCTCTTATTATAATTCTTCAAAGAAATTCTTCAAATTCTTGATCCTCCTTGTTTAGAATTTCTATCAAAAGCTCTGCTCTTGTCTGCAGCTGATCTATCTGGGTGCAACAGTTTTGGTACCCATAGAGCAGAAAGTTCGCTTAACTGTAATTTTCCAGAGTTGTTAAGCTGAACCAATTGAGATGTCTGTGGTGCTGGCTATTGTTTATACTGTTAGTCGTCTGTCCTCTTCAATTAGAGCAGGAACAAGATTAATTTTCTAGGAAATTGATGTGGATAGTCTGCCATTGTGGGTGTCATCTTCAAAATCATCTTGTCCCTTCTTAAAGAGAGTTATCTATTTTTGAACTGCTGATTTCTTTGAGGCACTGTCTCTATAAAGTTTTCATAAAGTGTCAGTAATTGCTCCCTTCTTCCAGGCAAACTTTTACTGTGAAAAACCATATATTTGATGTTTGTTCTTGCTTCAGTTTTAGTGGAATTCATGTTGCTCTGTTAGAGGCTCTTTTCAAATAGATGTCTTAAAGGTCCTTTGATGTCTTATTCAAACTAGATCCTGTTTAGACACATTATAACAAATTAGGAAAATTTTATTTTGGTGCAGAAAATTGGAAATTGATGCATAATTTTTTTCATAATACAATACACATTTTTCATGAAAAATTTTTTAGACCCCTGTATCTTATGCTTTTTTTTGTGTAAGGGAAGATAAATACATATATTCATATATAGTTTTATTTGCATAAAGAAACACTGGGAAGATTAACAAGCAACTAGAAAGTTGTTACCTCCAGGTGGCAGGAGGAGGAGTACTAGTGGGACATCTTAGTATGTATGTATCCTTGCATGACGGATCTTCAAAGGATCGCAGAAAATGGATATCATGAAAATGCTGTGTGGATTTAATTTTTTTTTTCTATAGGGCAGGTGTGCTCACAAGAAAGAGAAAGAGAGAGAGAGAGAGAGAGAGAGAGAGAAAGCATTACACACACATACCCTCCCCCCAGGAGAGGGATGGCCAGATCTTAGTTCCTTTTCTTTCATCCTCCTATCAGGATTTTTGGGCACTCATGCACATGCACTTAATGTGTTTTTCAAATTGCCGGGTCCAGAACTCGAACCACGCAGTTGGTCGTATGGAATCCATTCACCTTAACCACCATGCCCCTGGCTGGTTTGGTCTCAAACAGTTTTTGCACCAGAATAAACTTATACTTTAATTACATTTTCCATGAACATTTGCCATCCCCTCATTTATGCTCTTGGTTTTTGAAGCATGTAATTTATTACCTACTCAAAATTATTTTTTAACACGAAACTTAAAATAGATTCATTGTAGATTGTTGTCACAGAGAACATACTTTTTCAGAGATGTTGATTTGACTAATCACTAATGACTCTCTTAACCTCCCCACTGAGAGTAGTACTGATAGGTATTCCTGATTTTCTTCCCTTTTTTAGTAGTTCTGTTTTTACCGTATAGACCCAGGAAATACAGCTGAAACCCTGAGGCAGGTCATGAAAGGTGGAAAGTGGCTGTGGTAGCCCAGCCCATCCTAGCTCTTATATCTTGTCTGTGTTTCAGGACATCTGGGTTTGAGGCAGAACACAGGGAGTCATATCCTGGAATTATACCCAGCTTATAGCTGGTAGAGTCCTTTCAGGCAAGATCCTTAAGGTGTAGATTAACAGAAAGAGCTGCAGTCTAGACCCAAAATGGGAGAATTAAGGAAGCAATCCATTTGTCATCGAAAATAGCGAAGAAATAGGCAACTCCAAAGTAATTGAATAAAAATTCCAGAGTTGGCATTCAAATAATTTTTACATGATTCCAGCACAGACACTTAAGGTGTCAAGTTATTAGAATAGGTAAGCAGTTTAATTTTCTGTCTCTTCTATCTACTTAAATGTCTATCTTACCTACTACAGTGTGGGAATCAAGGACAAAGACTTCAGCCATATTGGAAAAAGAATAGACTTTGGAATCAGGAAGATCTATTTAAATCTAAACCCTTTCTCTCTAACTTTGGTCAAGTAATTTTTATCACACAGGACCTCAGATTCCGTGTGCATTAAATGTTAGAAGGATTGGGGGACCAGCAGTTAGCGTAATGGCTATGTCGCTGGACTCCCACGTAGTCGACCATGGTCCGCGTTCCGTACTCGGTGGCTTAAAACTCATGCCGGGCGCGTGTGCGTGCGTGCCCAAGATCCCGAGAGGAGAATGGAGGAGAAGGAATTGCGGTGTGACCATCCCCCCTGGGGGATGATTTTTCACTTTCTGTCTCTCTGTCTCTCTCTGTCTGTCTGGCGAGCGCACGCTCCCTATAGCAAAAACCTCTCCAAAAAAAAAAAAATGTTATAAGGATTAAGTGAGAGAAAAACATCTGTATATAATCATCTGGAACTTAAAAGTATTTAATAGTTTTCTTCCTTTTCCCTTTTGTGATTTCCAGAGCTTTGCATTTAAAAGGTATTCAAAATGTTTATAAAATTGAGTATTTTTCTCTCTACCTATTATATCTGAACCCTGAGTTAAGGACAGCCTGAAGCAGGCTTATTTATAAGGCTTTTACCTTGAGCAGTTAATGTCATTGTTACTAAATATTTTATCAAGAGACTGTTAGGTGCCAAGTGCTGAGTATTCACTTGCTCATTTGGTCTGTTTCCTCCTCATTGTCCAGCTTGAAGCTTGTACTCTGTGAAGGCCTTTTTATTCTATTTGCAGGGCCTCTTCTCAACTCCAGCTTTTATCAGTAGGTATGAGAGTCATTCCCTTATACTCATGACTCTTCCAGAAAACCCCATTCACACGCTCTAGGCATAGATACATGTAGGAAGTGTTAAATATCTTTCCTTCCTTTGACAGATATTTATTGAGTGCCAGTACCGTGCTAGGATGATTACAAACGGTATTAATACACGATTCCTGCCTCCTAAGGAGCTATACCTCTAGCAAAAACAAAACAAAAACAAAAACACAGGTACCAAAATATAATTAACTTTTTAGTGATAACAATATTACTTTTGTTTGTCATTTTACATTTTACCATTTAGAATGGTCTCATTTTAAAAACATACCCATGTACATAGAAGAAAGGATTGGAAAGACACACACCAAGATACTGACAGAGCTTAACTCAGGTGTGGTTTCTGGCTGGTAATTTTTTTCTTCCATTTTGCCTACCTGAATTTTCTAAATTTTCAGTGGCTTTATTTTTGAAGTTATAAGAAAGTCACCATGCCCCCCTCCTTGTTAACAAAATAGTGACCTTCCTCTTTCTTTCATATTCAGCTTTTGCGAGAATTGAAGCACCCTAATGTGATCGCATTGCAGAAGGTGTTCCTTTCTCACAGTGACAGGAAGGTGTGGCTGCTGTTTGATTATGCAGAACACGACTTGTGGGTAAGTCTAGTCACTGTATATTTAGGATTATTTTAATAGGTATGGACCATATATGTATGTGATACATAGCACTAATGCACAGAAAGGAAACAGAATTTTGCCTGTTAACCAAAGTTCAAAATAAAAATAGTAAAAAAGGTTAGCAATAAACCAGTGTCTTACTGAGAAGATATTATTTGTAATGTCCCAAAATTTCACTTGAGAAAATTTTAATGAGACTAGGAGATTGTAATTTTATGTAAATAAGTTAGTAACAGTTTACTAATATGTATAGTGAAAATTACTTTTGTGATATGCACAGTACTATAATTATTTAGCTAGTAAATAGTAAATAGTTTCTCTTTCTAAGTTAAGGGCAACTTCTTGGAGCATTTTTTTTTTAAAGAGGTTTTTGCCATAGGGCATGTGCCCTTGCCTGAGAGAGAGACAGACAGAGATAGTGAGAAGGAAAGTGAGAAATCACTCCTCGTGGAAGGGATGGGGGTTGGCCATGCTTCAATCCCTTCTTCTCCATTTTCCTCCTGGGATCTTGAGCACACACGCACACGTGCCCAACTTTATTTTTCAAGCCATCAGGTCCAGGACTCAAACCATGGACTGCTATGTGGGAGTCTAGCAACATAACCACTATGTCAACTGCTGGCCCCCTCTGATAGCATTTTGCCATTTAAAACAGGCTCCACCAAGTACATTTGCAAACTTTAAGGATGTTTTATAAATATATGAAAGAATCAAAAAATTCTAATTCCTAATTTTAAAAATCAGGAGTAAGAAGCATTTTATTCAAGGACCTGATAAAATGTAAAAGAATTCAAGTTTGACATTAAGTTCAAATTATGGCTAATTAAATTTTAATTCAATATGATGTGGTTTGCCACCTATATCAATTATAAATCTGATTATTAATAACTTTAACAGACAGAAGGTGGAGGTTGGTGGGGGAAAAGTGTCATTTCTTCTTTCATTACAATATTTATATAACCTATGTTATAAAACGTGGATGTAAAAAATTTGAATATGATGATCCAGTTGTGTTCCTTTCAAAGGAATTGAAATCCCCACTCACTCTTCCTCTTCTTTTCTCATAATTTCCTATGCAATATTAACTTCTAGGACTATATTCTAATTTATTCTGTGCCTGAAAAAGGTGGAACTTTCTCAGTAATTCACATATATACATAGTTAGTGATACTCCTCAAATGAACTAAGTGCTAACTTTTTACTGAGTTCTAATGATTTGTAGTTTTTTCTGTTTTAATTCTTTCATTCTATCAGAAGAGAAGATGACTAATACTATTCTTAGTCAGCAATTTAAATATCAACCCCAGGTCAGCCAGTGGCATGGTGGTTAAGGCAGCTGGATCTTACGTGACTGACTGTGCAAATTGCGTTTTACATCTGACAACTTGAAAAATGCACTGAGTGTGTGTGCTTGTGTGCCCAAAATCAAGAAAGGAGAGAAAAATGGAGAGGGGATTGTGGTGTGACCATCCTCCATGGGAGGTACTTCCTCACTTTCTCTTTCTCTCTGTTTCTCTACCATGAGCGTGGATGCCCTCTTTTTTTATTTTATTTTTTTAAAGAAAGATAAATATCAACTCCTTTCACCCACCTTTTGGTCCTATTTAATGAAAACCTCAATGGTTTTAGTAAATCTAGTCATCATAGCCCCACATTAAACATATTTGCTCCCAAGATAGATTCAGTTTTGATTGATCTTTTTATTCATTTTATGTCATTATTGACCTTTAGTAATTAAGTAAAAAAATAGAGTATTTTTTACAGCCTTGATAATGTTTTATAGGTATAGATATTAGCAAAGACTATATATTATTATAATATGTTTTCTTTTTAAATTTTAGCATATTATTAAGTTTCATCGTGCATCAAAAGCAAATAAAAAGCCCATGCAGTTGCCAAGATCCATGGTTAAATCATTACTTTACCAGATTCTTGATGGTATCCATTATCTCCATGCAAATTGGGTGCTTCATAGAGACCTAGTAAGTATGTTTCTTTTCAATCCATCACTATTGGTAATGTTATAATAAAACATTAATTATAGCACGAACATATATTGAAAACATGCACAAGCAAAAAAGGACATAGAAATCACTCATAAGCATGCATAGTAAAGAACTTACCATTATTAAGAGTGAGTGTATATTATTCCAATATTTTTATGGATAGCTATAAACTATCAGTATGATTTTAAACAAATGATTAATATATAATTGTAATGGAATAGTCAGACATGAAAGAAATATGTTTTGATCTAGCTTGATCTTTGAATTGTTGCCCATCATTAACAAAAATATTAATTATTAAAGACTGAATTTTTGGGGCCGGCAGGTGGTGCAGTGACTAAGGGTGCTGGACTCCCACTTGGCTGACTGTGGTTCAAGTCCCGGATCTGGCAGCTTGCTTTCACTTGCCCTCTCTCGCTGTCTCTCTGTTTCTTTCTGGTCAAATTGAAATAAGTAAATAAATAAAATTGAGTAAAATAGTTCTTTAAAAAAAACTGAATTTTCATTTTTTTCCTTTAATACCTAAACTGAAATTATATTACATCTGATAAAAAGAATGTTATTATCAGTATTTACAATAAGTTAAAAAAGAACAAAATATCTTAACAGGTAGAATATACTTATTAGACAAATGAACTACAACTTAAATGTTTTATTTTTTTAAATTCAGTACATATATAGTAAATATTTATTAATATCAAATTATATGCTAGATATTCATGTTCACATTATTGTCATTTTAGTTTCTGTTGATGAGATTTTTTTGTTTGTCCTTAAGAGAAATGGATACTGAATAGCTGTAATCCTCATGAGTTTATCATTGTAGGTTTTATTTTGCCTTCCCCTTACCCATTAGATTTCATGGTCAGTTATTTCTTAGGCTTTTGAAAGTTCTGGGGCTATGGTGGGAATACATCTAGGTAGATTTCTGTTTTATTAAGAGGAGTATTATATAAAGGGATGAATAAAGAGACTGAATAGTATTCCTTGGTACCTTGTCAGTAAGGTCTAGTCATCTGATTTGACCACTTCTTTCTGTGGATATTGTAGTTAAATTGGGCCAAACGATAGTGACCACAGAAGACGCATTTACCACTTTAATGGAAGCATTAACTGTGAGGTTCTTCAAGACTTTACTATTAACCAGAAATTTACATGTTTTAAAGTGATTTGGAGGTATATGAAGTTGTCCTGTATCATGAGGCCTCCTTCAAATATGGGCTTTCAGGTTTTAATTTGCTATACACTTAATGTTGCCTACATGATCTCAAAGATGTATGTAATTATTTTTCCTTTTTTTTTTGTTTGTTTGTTCATTAAATTTTTGGTATAGAGCATGTGGGCTCTCCAAGGGTGGGCAGATCACTCCCCAGGGAAGATGGCCACACTGTAATACTTTCACATGCATGCTCAGTATATTTTCTAAGCCACTGGCTCTGGGACTTGAACTATGTAGTTAGCCATGGGGATCTAGCCACCCTAAACACCTGTTGGTCCTAGGAGTTATACATATATAGACACACACACACACATACATACATATATATATATATATATGTATGTATGTGTGTTTAACAATTTTGACTTTTTTTCATGGTAGAGCTGGCACATACAAGTGAGATATAGAGAGGGGAATGAGTATCCTCCACAGGGTCTGATCACACTGTGACCCCCTTTCTCCAGCCCTCCAGCCTCTCAGATCCTGGACACTCATGTGCATGCCCAGGCTAACTGGCCTTGGGATTCAAACCAAGGTTGCCTGGTGAGATTTGGCCTCTCTTGAGCAACACATTACCACTGAACCACAAAGCCAGCCCGCAAGTTACATTTTTCAGGTTATGGTCTTGTTTTAGTCATTCATCAGAATCCTTTATTGAGGATGAAATAATTTGAACTCTTTTCACTTATTAGACAGAATTGTATGTTTTGTTCTAAATAGCACAGTGCAACACATTTTATTTGTGATATTGTCCATTGTTTGTCCACTGGTACTAAAACTCAGTGTGAGCAGTGTTCTCCCACATAAACTTGCTGCTGCTTCAGTGTCCTTTATATTGGTTGTGGCATCACCCTCCTCCTAACCTAGAAACTTCCTTTATCTCTTTACAGACCCTTATTTCTACTCATATATCCACAACTTGCCAAGTTCTTTGAGTGTCATCTCCAAAAATTTCTATTTTCCCATTTCCATTCCTTGTACCCCATTCCTAGATCATACTTTTATAACCTCTGTTTTTGTATTATGGCACTGGACTCATAACTTGTTTCCTTGTCAACAATCTCTTTCTCTGCCATCTACTTTAGAGCTTCTAACAAAATATTTAGCTCCTGCTCGAGAACTTTGAAATAGTTCTTCATTGCTTACAGACTAAAGCTCTACTTCCTTATTTGGCTTGCAGAGTCTTACCAGATGTAATTCCAACTGTCTTTACAATTTTTCTCTATCTCTGTCATCTTTCACATACACTGTACTATTGAACTACTCATCGTTTGTGTATCCTCCTGCCTCACTGGCCCTTATTTCCTGTTGTAAAGCCCTTTATTTTAGCCTGATTCTGAGGCCCAGCAGTGAGGCACTGCTCAAGAGAAGCCAGATCCCACATGGAAAGCACAGTTTGAATCCCTGGCCTGGTCAGCTGTAAACATGCTGGTACTTGCATGAATGCCCAAGATCTAGATCAAATGAGTTGGAGGACCAGAGGAAGGAGGTTGAAGAGTGACCATACCCTAGGGAGAGTACTTGCTTCTTCTTCTCTCTCTCTCTCATGCACATGCACTCTATTGTGAGTAAAGGAAAAAAAATCAGAAACAACAACAAAAAATTTCTCCATCTCTACATATTGAAATACTGCCTGACTTTTAGGACCCAGCACAAACTTTCAAATGTACCATCAAATCCCTTTCTACTTGGAAATAATCTCTCCTTGTTCTTGGTTCCTGTTGTGTTCCATCTTTGCTTGTCTCAGGACATTTGTTTCTTGGTATTACAGTGATTTATATGTCTTAGACCATGTCCTGGACTGTGAACTCCTTGAGAGAGCTGCGTCTCCATCTAATTCTTTCTGTACCCCACTCTTCCTGCATATAATATGTGTTGAGCTATTTCCTCAGTGAGTGAATAGCAGTGAGAATATTGATTATTACAGCCTTTTTGTTGGGGGGAGGGGTCAAGCATTGGAACTCACTCTCCTCAGTGAATATTTATTGTTTTCTTGTTTGTGAAAAGTACAGACGGAAGGGACAGTGCAAATAAGACTGCATCAAAGGCCTTTTCAAGGAGCTTATAACCTGAGAGAAGAAGTGTGGCCTATACATAAATAATTGTAAGATCCATGAGAGTGAATGTGGCTTTGTGAGAGATACAGACTAAGTGCTGTTCAGGGTCAGAAGAGGTTCTGAATGAGGGATAAGGGAAAGCTTTAGTAAGCAGATGGTATTTGAGTTGGACTTGGGAGGATGAGTAGAATTTAAATAGAGATTTGCTAATGAGGGTGACCTAAGGAAGTGATGGATGTAAACTTCTGAGTCAAGAAAGCATTTGGATCTCGGAAAGGGTGTGCAGTCTGTCTCGCTCAGATATGGATATGTTGAATTGGGATAGTGTGAGGTAAGACCAGAAAGGTATGGAGGACCAGCCAAGGGGCATGGTGGTTAAAAAATGGCTGGATCTCACATGGCTGACTATGCAAATGCACTGGGCCTGTATGTCTCCAACAAGCACATATGTACCTTATAGCGAAAAAAAAAAAAAAAAAGTGTGTGGGTTGGAGCCTGATTGAGAAAGGCTGTAAATATCAGGCTAGGAAGTTTTGGAGGTCTTTGTATTTGTTTATTTGTTTAAGCACTGAAAGTTTATGAACAATTGAGTAAGTTTTTCTCCCAGTGAAGAAGCCACCACTGATTATTACCTCATCCTTAGCAGAAGGACCTAGTCCTTGTTCTACCCTAGTATAACACTTGTTTATCTTCCTTCACAAAACTCTATTAAAGATTGGAAGCTTTCTTTTTTTTTTTTTTTTAAAGAGAAAGATTAGCAAAACTCTATTAAAGATTGGAAACTTTCTTTTTTTTTTTTAAAGAGAAAGATTTTTGCTATAGGGCACATGCACTTGCCAAAGAGCTTGACAGAAAGTGAGTAATAACCCCTCCCAGGGGAGATGGCTACACCACAATTCCTTCTCCTCTGTTATCCTTTCAGGATTTGAGACACGCACGTGCACACATGCACACACACCCACATGAGTTTTAAGTCACTGGGTTCAAGACTTGAACCACCATGAACTATGTGGGAGTCCAATGATGTAACCATTACACCATCTGCTGGTCCCAAGATTGGAAACTTTCAACCATGAAGAATCTAGTCTGTGAAAGTCTCCTCAGTTCTTACCGATCATGAGTTCTGATGTATTGTCTGACTATATTGTCATAGTTTCAAAAGTAGAAGAGTTTAACTGTGTGTTTATGTAGATATATATTCTGTAGTAGGTACAGAAATGTTAACATATATTAAATATGAAAATGGTGTTAGAAGATTGGTAGAGACATTTGAAAAATTAATTTTTGTGAGCTTTAGAGTAGCATTATCAGGGCCATCAGGTGGTGTCGTGGTTCAGGTGCTGAACTCCAACATGGTCAGCCACAATTTGAGTCCTGGACTCAGTGGCTTGAAAATCATGCTGGACATGGGACCAGCAGTTAGCGTAATGGCTATGTCGCTAGACTCCCGTGGTTCGAGTCCCAGACTGGGTGGCTTAAACTCACGCTGGGCACATCTGTGTGCGTGCCCAAGATCTCGAGAGGAGAATGGAGGAGAAGGGATTGTGGCATGGCCATCCCTCCTGGGGGGGTTGATTTCTCACTTTCTGTCTCTCTGTCTCTCTCTGTCTTTCCAGTAAGTGCACGCACCCTATAGCAAACACCTCTCCAAAGAAAAAAATCATACCGGACATGTGTGTGCGTGTCCCAGATCCTTAGAG